ACCAAACTTAGTATCAGGATCAAGGTTACCTTTATTAGAGAAAGGTGATGTCACAGCTGAGGAAGGATTTTGTATGCAAGCAGCATATCACTTGCAGAAATTTGGAATTAGGATCGAGACTGTAAAACTTTTTTTTTTTTCCTGTAATGACTTACAGGAAAGAAGTAAAATATTAGAGTCACCTTGTGTATTTTGTGAACATTTTAAAAACTAGAGCAAAATAGCCTTTTGTATGCGTAGAGTTTATATAAGACTAAGTTACAGAATGGTTGACACCATGCATCCCTGAACTGATATCTTGTGTCTTTGAATAGACGGCTGTCTAGAAACTGAGCCCAGATTCTGTCTTCATACATCAACCACATCAAGAAAGCTATCAGAGCCAGAATTCTCTTTTTTTAGTTCATTTTGAGTACAGGGGCTACAGGATTCTGGCAGAGGAATAAAAAAGGGGGCTGAAGAATGAACACTAGAGAAATACCTAGTGTGTATGGACAGACAGTCTGTCAACCTAATTTCTTCTTGAGGATGTCTATTACTGTGAACTCTGCAGAGGAATGATTGGCTTCATTTTATGGAAAGGTAGGACTCTTACTTCATTAAAGTCAAGATCTTGCTCCTTTTCCTTTAGTATAGATAAACACCTACAGGTAGCTGTCAGAGTGATATCATAGAAAAAATCTAGTTCTTACCATTCTCAGCCAGTATAAAAGGCTATTTAATTATAAACAGTACTGATTATTAGAGGAGGTTTTAAGCCTTAAGAACAAACAAAGGCCTTTCCCACTTACATTCCAACTGAAGACATAATTAAGTAAGAAATCTGCGAAAATAACTCTGAGTTTTCCCTTAAGGTAAGGATATGGAAATGGAAGAATAAAATAACTATCCTGAGTCATTGATCTTTGATATTTAAAAAAAAAATCTGTCAATACATTATAGTCATACTCATTCACTTTCTGCCTTACCTGCCCCTGCTCCTTACATTTGTTGCTACACAGCGACCCAAGTTTGATAGTAAGAGAAGAGGGGACAGAGAAAACAGCAGCAGTCTACACAATAGGCTGTATAGAAACAATTTTCCCGTCTTGAAGCTAGGCCTTTGTATGCTAAAGAAAACAAGAGTAATAGATGGAGAAGAAGAGTACACAAGGATGAATATGACTGTAGCTAGGGGGAAATACAGCTATGAGGGTGATATCTGTATGCAATGTATAACAACTTGTTAAACAGATATGTAACAACCAAAACACCATCCGATAAAAAATAAAATGCCATGATATATAATTAAACATTTTAGCCAGTTTGAAACCAAAGAAAGAAGCAAAACCTTTAAAAAATGGTTGGTGATTGCAATTGCTTCTGCTTTTGGTAGAGACAATTAGTAGAAGTCAATTGTCTTTTCAGAAAGCAGATGCCTACCCCTTAAAAGCCCTGACCTTATCAAAAAGTTTGTTCTGTGATTAAATACTTACAATACCAAGTCATATCAAGATTACACGAGGCTGTGAAAGTTCCCTTTTTCCTGTTAATTAGGGTAACAAAACCAATATGCAAGAATGCTTCCTGAAATATCGATCTAGTTCTGTTGCACACAAAGTCAATGTCAGAACTAATTTTCTTTTTTATGCACCCAACTAGCAATGTTTAAAACAGCACATATATGTATCTTTTTGAGTCCCTGGCTAGATATTTGCCTTTAGTAGCTGCTGCTTGCAATTAAGGGGTCTTTCCATACCAGTGAGCAAATATGTTTCTTATAAATGAATATAATCTTCTGTCTGACGAACTGAAATCTAGGAACAAAGTCCAGCAGCTAAATTATGGAAATAATGATAATAATTCCAACAAGATGAGCATTCTGTGGTTTCTATTTTGTTACAGACAGCAAAAAGGTACCTCTTTCATTATCTTACAAATGTAATTATAGCCACTCCAGATGCTGTGTCTTAGGTGTATCAAGGAACATTTACTTTCTTCAAGCACTTAAATGACATCTAAGACCTTTGATTTCTCAAAATGTTGATTATGTATTTTTTATGAATTAGAAAAGTTTTTCTCTGCTTTTGTAGATTATTCATTGCAGTAATATATTAAACTTGATTCTGCAGTCAGCCACATCATAGAAAGAAAAAATATTGGACCTTAATTTGTAGTGCACAGCGTGAACACTCGAACCTGTAAACAGCCATAAAAGTGACAAATCGCTTGAGGCCTTTATAGATATTGCGCCATTTTTCTTCTGCATTGTAAAGTGGTATATTATGGTTTTGGCAAGTTCATTGCTGGCTGTCCTTATTCATTGCAGCTATGATTTTCAAGAAGTCCTAAATTACACACAAAATTTTGAAATTCTATTGCCAAATTTCCAAATATGATTGAAAGAACTGAATGCCTGCTTGATTTTAGGTGAACAATTACATTTTAGGTATAAGCTGACGATGGGAGGCCTTAGAGATTAGATTAGATTAATTTTAGCACACATCCCAGACTGAACTCCAAAAATCTTTTTCCAAAAGGCATTCTAAAACAGAAAAAAATATTTGTTTTTTTGTTTCTTTCTTTCTTTCTTTCTTTCTCCTGACTTCTCCATCTTCTAATGTCAGATACAGTGATGAAAAAACATAAGAGAAATTTTTGTTGCCATGATGTAAATACATTCTGATAAAGATGCCCCTGCTCCTTTGTTAGTCTTGTCTTTTATCCTATTTATCATATGGCTAGAAGAGGCCTTCAAAGTCATGTCACCCTTCCTATGCTCAGAACAGGGATCAGCTGTACCTAGGCCAGTACTGGCAAATGCTTATTTAACTTTTTCTTACAACCTCCAAGGGCAGACCCAAAGCAAGATGTTCCAGCACTTCCTTCTTCTTGCCATTAAAATGTTTTTCTCAATGTCTAATTTGAAACTTCCTGTTGTGACTGGAGTTTGTTTGTGTTCACCACAGTCATGGGAATGGATTATATCCTTCCTGCTTTGTTTATTCGAAGTTATCATGTCCACCTCAATCATGTCCCTAGTTTGTTCAATCTTTCCTCACAGATTGTAGAACTAGTAGATACTTGCTTTGCTCTAGATTAGCTCTAATTAGAGTTTACTTCTTTCTTGAAGTGCGAAGCCCCAAGCTGGAGACATTTTTCTAATGCCTTAGCAATCCTGAGTAAGTAAGTCAGAAAAATTACTTTATGTGGTTTTGCATCTGAAATGTATGTTTACATTTTTCACAACAGCATGACATTACTGGATTGTATTCAGTGTAGTACACATAAAGCCAGCAGGAAATGTCTCCTTGTGCAGGTCCAGCACCATACTCAAATAGAGCCCCCCTCAACCCTAAAGCAGGGAGTGGCTGTGGCTCGGGAGGGCACAAAAACCAGCACAGTACTATTGGTTTTACATGCTGCTTCTAAGACAAATAGCATGGAGTTGCCTCACATTCAGTACCACGTCAGTGAACTGTAGTATGAAAACACTTGTGTGGCCTTTAAAGAGCGTGTGAGACAGGCTGCTAAACGTCTAACAAGGAACCGTCTAAAATAAGTTGTACGCCACTCTTGAGATGAGCCGTGTTTCTGTAGCTACAGATGGATAATCCTGCTTTCTGTTAAGTTCACTAGCTGTTGTGCAAATTCTGATAAGCATGGTCTTCCCTGAAAGTGTATGGGAGAAAGACAGGTCCCCATTCCTTAATTCAGGTTAAGCAAGCTACAGATCCAGAGCAGGTGGAGCAAACAGTATACAGGTGAACTTCTGCCATTTTTTGAGGAGTTTAATCCTACACGGTTGTTGGTTTTATGGCTCCCAGCTAATGATGTCCTTATCCATACCATTATTTCTGTACTTAAAATTAAATGGAGAACTGCTTTCCTAGATGAGGACTAGAAAGCTCAGAATTTGTAGAATTGAGCATCTAACTGCTCTTTTCAAAAAATTATTATATTCCACACACAATTTTAAAAGCTACTTGGGACTTTTGCACTTCCGTTCATGCTGTGAAGGACTTTAAGCAAAAAGTGAGTATGTGAACCAGAAATGTGCTTTATGCTACCTAAATGCCAAGAATCTAAAGTTCGTACATCTGTTTTCTGTCTCCTGGGAAGTTCCTAGAGAATGATTTTGCATTTCATTTTTCAGGGTTATAGTTTACTATCATCTCACTATTTTATTAAAGTATCCTTAGATACAATGTCCAGAAATTTCAAACTGATGAAAAGGACACTGTTTAAAGAGAGACAATAAGTCTCAACCATATCACTAAAATTTCTTTAAACATCATCAGCAGAAAAGGATCTAAAGGCTTCTTCCATGAATTTGAATCCTTTCTCTTGCATTCATGCATTTTTCCTTTGTATAATTAAATAGGCCTTTCTGCAGAGAGTGGTGAAGGCAACTCACTTTTTCTTAGTCAGTCCAGTGGGAAGATAACTGCAGTATGGGTAGGCCATTGCATTCATGCAGAAAATATCTATTCTACAGACTATTGTGTAGCAATTTAAAGTATACATAAACCAACACACCTTTCTAATCCCTATAGACCTAGTCTTTGTATATCCTTCCCCTTGATAGCTGTCAAGCTTGTTAGTATTCCAGTGATAGGTTAGAATGGCATAATGGCTTGCCTACCTGGCACAATTCACACTTTTTTTCTTTTTCACCTTATTCGATCCAGCTATGGAGTTGGCTACACTGAAACAATTCAACACGTTCTTATGTAATGGCTCACTGATGGTTATGTTTATTAAAGATTAAAATAAAAAGGAGGGTATAATCACTAACCGACATATCTGAAATATCATGTTGCTGCAGAAATTTTCATGGTGTTCTAAGCTGAATTGTAAAATTGCTCCCATACAAACCTATTGGTCTATATACCTTCTGCTTGCTGACATCAACAATAATTTAACATTGCAGATATCCAAAATAATATATCATATTTTCTTCTTGTTTGCGACTATGCTTGCTTTCAGACTTATGTTTATGTATTTTTCTTTCTCCCCAGGTAATGCATTTGTGGTGAGCCTAGCTTTGGCTGATCTGGTGGTGGCCGTGTATCCATACCCACTGGTGCTCTTAGCTATTTTCCACAATGGATGGACGTTGGGTGAAATGCACTGTAAAGCAAGTGGCTTTGTGATGGGACTAAGTGTAATAGGCTCTATTTTCAACATCACTGCAATTGCAATAAACCGGTATTGCTATATATGTCATAGTTTTGCCTATGACAAAGTGTACAGCTGTTGGAACACAATGCTGTATGTCTCCTTAGTCTGGGTATTAACAGTAATTGCAACTGTGCCAAATTTCTTTGTTGGCTCTTTAAAATATGATCCACGCGTCTATTCATGCACATTTGTTCAGACTGCAAGCTCCTACTATACGATAGCTGTTGTGGTAATTCACTTCATCGTCCCTATCACCATTGTGAGCTTCTGCTACCTTCGAATTTGGGTTTTAGTGCTTCAAGTTAGAAGACGAGTCAAGTCAGAAACAAAGCCAAGACTGAAGCCAAGTGACTTCAGAAACTTTCTTACCATGTTTGTGGTTTTTGTCATTTTTGCCTTTTGCTGGGCACCTCTAAACTTCATTGGACTGGCTGTAGCCATCGATCCTATGGAAATGGCACCAAAAGTTCCTGAATGGTTATTCATTACAAGCTACTTCATGGCCTATTTCAACAGCTGCCTTAATGCAATAATATATGGACTTCTTAACCAGAATTTTAGGAATGAATACAAACGAATTTTAATGTCACTGTGGATGCCAAGGCTTTTCTTCCAGGACACATCCAAAGGAGGAACTGATGGTCAGAAGAGCAAACCTTCTCCTGCTTTAAACAACAATGACCAAATGAAAGCTGATACCTTGTAAATGTGTAATAGTCAAAGCAAGTTTGTCATGGTGAAACCCAAGAATGCAGTTGTAATGTTCTGGTCATTCTTGCTTACTTTTGGGGACTTGCCATTTGGATGGCACTTTGTGACTGGAATACAGGCTTTTTCATAAAGCATATTGCTCTCAATTAATGATTTATACAAGATATCAATTGAAAATGCATTTCAGAATTAAAGCAGCAGGTGAGTGCAAGCTGGTTTAGTTCTGAGAGCTGAATTCTGCTCCCAGACATATGAAAGGCATTTTTTTTACCCCAGTGGGAATTTTGCATTCTTTATACAAGATCAGGATTCAGTTCTTAGAAGATGTAGTGAAGGTACTTGTCTATGGGGCACAGCAGCTCATCAAGGCTGAGGAGTGATATTTTCCTCCTTCCTGTATCTGAACAAAGAGGGTGAAGCAGATACTCTGTTTTCCACACATAAGCCAAACATCACATTTCTGTGCAGGTACTGGTGGCAGTAGTATCTTTGAATCAAACTTGTAAATTGGAGAGAAGAATATTTGTGTAAAATCAAATATTAACATTAGAGCTTTTCCTCACAGGTTTTTCATACTTACATACACTGAGATTGGGAATACAGTGTATTTACTCTGTTCATCTTTTGTGGTCGGTTTTATGGCAGATAATATAATACAAATCATTAATTTATTACACATTTACTTTACACAATATTCTTCCTTTAGAGAGGATTGAATTTTCATCGTGCTCCATTTATTTACCTAAATATATACATCCAATGTCATTTGATGCACTTTAGCACACTTCACACATTTGCAACAGGCTGGAAATTATGGCATATCACCTGTGATCATCTGGAGTGGCAGGATATCCTAGATCTTCTCAAATGATGCTAGATGGAAAGAAGCAGACCTTTTGACTATAATGGCAGTTGAGATTCTTGCCTCACATGTCTACATCTAATCTTGAACAAAATCCGCTGTTGGTATCTAATCTAAGATAACCTTTGAGGTTCCCTGTAGTGGAGATATGTTTCGTTTCATCTGTGATCATAAACACGCATCCAAGGATGAGATGAATTGCTTTGTGGAGGTACTGGTCTCCTTTCATTGACTTCAGAAGAAGTTTTGATTACTAGTTCAAACACTTTGCTTTGGACTTCTAGATGGGGATTTATCTTGCCTAATTTGGGATGTCACCAGCGTAGATATTTGCACATGATTTATTTTCTAAATTCCCACTGTAGACCATGGAGTTCTAGGAAATGCTTTATTTTTTCTTGAAACTGGCATCTTTATGGGTCAGGGGAACTGCTTGACAGAACTCACTAACTGTATCTTCATTGACTGTAATGGAGATCAGGCAGCTCATGTGGACACATTTCAGGCAAAGATAGGTAATCTTAATCCTATAACTAGTGTACTTACAGTTCATATTTTCACAGTTCATAAAATAAAAGGATGATATTCCATCTTCTTTTCAAACTCAGCTCAAATTCAAACTGGATTTCTCCTTTTTCAGGTACCATATTGTAACAGTGACTGTAGAGATCAGATTACAATCTGGGTTATACCCCACAGTATCATAGTAATGTACACAATGTGGTTTGTATTATCTCTAAATCAGATTAGGGATCTGTGTGCAAACACAGTCAATTAAGTTATTTTATTATTAGACCTGAAATGCACATTACTGTTAGTAGCGCTGTTCAGGGGAAAGGAGATAGGCCTCTGGTAAATCCGTGTCAGGTGTTGAAATAGGAAAAGGAGGAATTCAGGTTGCTATTACATTCTAGTTTGGGTTTCTGACCTTGCTATTATGAAAAATATTTCTGTAGTAATGTTAATTTTTACAGCCAATATACTGCTCCTGAAGCCATAAAGACGTATTAGACATTACCCTTATGTTGCTATACTTATAGAAAACCATCAAAGAACCACAGTATTTTAAATGTTTTATTTGCTTGCCAAAAGTCAATGTGAAGTACAGCAAAGTAACAAATGTGATGATTCTTCTAGCTTCTTTCATGTTCTTCAGATAGTTTCTGATAGTCTCTGAAATTCAGTACCCTAGGACTCAGAGTGGTAGCCTGATGAAAGCTGAAAACTTTGTGAATAGGGGTAAGAAAGAGATGGGACAAATTTAACCTGGTGGTAGATAATAAAAATATTGTAGCTAAAAATAGCAATCATTAATATGTAGGTTCTACTTGGAACATAATTTTGTAAGTCTAACACAGTTTCGATACGTATTGTCTTTCTTCATGACTTCCACACCAAGGTACAGAACACAGAACTAATATACATGTATATTTACATGTGAAACTTCCCTCAAAGTAAATAAGGAGATTCAAGATTCTGGAAAACTTGCAGGAAAGGACATCACATTTGCTTCATTGAAAATCCTGCCTTTTCTGACATCTATGAGTACTCATAATCGTGACTTGAAAGTCAAAATTTATTGTCTGACTTGTAGATGAACTAGTATTAGAAGTAAATCCATTGACCTTGGTTTATCGCTTGCTGACATGACACAGAATAGAGTCCAGAATTTGGATCAAATTCCCATTATTGTTTTAGCTCCATAAAACAAATATAAACATTGGAACCACTTGCTTGGCCATAAAAGTGAGCAGCTATCATTCTGCGTACTCATGGGAAGAAGATTTGAAATTTTTAGGAAGTAATTTTACAAATTATCTCTGCACTTTAAAAAGTAAAGATCACTTTTAAGAATCCTTGTGCTGGTATCTCAACTATCCTAAATGAAGCTCACACAAGTAATAAAATAGAAACATAGAATCATGGAATAATTTGGATTGGAAGGGACCTTAAAGATCATCCAGTTCCACCCCTCCCCGCCATGGGCAGGGACACCTTCCACTAGACCAGGTTGCTCCAAGCCCCATCCAACCTGGCCTTGAACACTGCCAGGGACGGGGCATCACAACCTCTTTGGGCAACCTGTTCCAGTGCCTCACCACCCTCACAGGGAAGAATTTCTTCTTTACATCTAATCTAAATCTACCCTTTTTCAGTTTAAAGCCATTACCCCTTGTCCTATCACTACATGCCCTTGTAAAAAGTCCCTCTATGGCTTTCTTGTAGGCCCCCTTCAGGTACTGGCAGGCTGCTGTAAGATCTCCCTGGATCCTTCTCTTCTCCAGGCTGAACAACCCCAACTCTCTCAGCCTGTCTTCGCAGGAGAGGTGCTCCAGCTCTCTGACCATCTTTGTAGCCCTCCTCTGGACTTGCTCTAACAGGTCCATGTCCTTCTTACACTGGGGGCCCCAGAGATGAACACAGTAATACATTGTTCAAAGCAAGAAGTGTTCCAAAATTTGATCCTTCCTCACAAATGATGGAAAAATTTTGCAACGGTGCTAAATTATTAGACGTGGATTCTACCACCACACTTCCTGCATGGGATCCTGCTCTGCATGGTGTCTGCAAATCCAATGTAGCTATTTAATGTGGCAGGTACTGCTACTTATTGAGTCCTGATGTACAGACAATAACTCATGACTGTTAAAGTAAGTTTTTATACCATATATTATTACAAAGCATTGCCTTTGAGTTGACCTGGAAATCAATCAAATTCATAAATTTAAATTTACCTGGAAATCAATCAAATACATAAAATTTTTATTAATTTAGATGACTAAATGCAGCTTTTGCATTATTAAACCTCTTCATGTAGCAATATTTTATTTCACCATATAGTAATGTATCCATCTACCTACATCAAAAGCCTTAAAATAATTTTCTCCCTTCTCTTATTATAATTCAAACTCCATTTTTCCTCAATTTACATTTGAAGAAAAAATTATAAATGCAGTTTAAAATGTAACTAACCATCAAGATAGGGGATATGATTATAACATGGTTTGAAAGTATAGTCAGGAAGAACATATCAGCTCTGTACAGATTTATGCATCCTTGAGGAAATTATTATTTCCATTATATAAAAGTATATTTAACAGCATATCAGATATAGACACTTCAAAAAAAAGGAGGAAGGAAGTCAGGTAGACTCTGTGTTCTACACAAGGTAACTAGTGAAGGCAAAACTAGGGCCTCAGGGACAAAGTCTGTTTCCAGAAAATTTGGAGTGTTTTCAAGCATTTAATGCTATATTGATTAAAGTGTTGTATTTTCTATTTATTAAAAGAAATAAATGTGTTCTAGAATTGGTCTTACAATAGAACTCTGATTAGAAAAACTTACTATCACACAGATGGGTGAAGACCACTTGTAAATTCTATTTCAGTAAAGAGGGAAGTGGAGGTGAGACTGAAGCGATGCATTAACCTTATCCTATCTCTCTGTCCAAGTGACAATTTCACTCTCAAGGAAGAATTAAAACTAAAGATTCAGTCCTATTACTGTTGACTTCAGTGAGATCAGGTTTTCAAACCAAATTATTGACTGAATAGAATAATTCTGCCTGGCTCATTCTAAGGGCCGGAAATGCACTTCTGTCTCTGCACTTCTTCCTTTGAGAACACATTTAGATAAAAATAATTGCTTTTATTTCTGAATTGTATTTTTAAAGAACTGCACAAGTCTGGGAATTTGCCAATGAATAAATATCTATGGAAGATATTCACGTCACATATCTGCCGTTCGTTGGAGCACGGGTAGTTTTTTCATCAGTCCTCCTGGTCAAAGGGAAGGGGTTTGAAAGGGCCAGTCAAATCAACAAATGGTTATGGGACTAATGCCACAGCCAGGGGTTTGACTACTCAGACCACGGAACTCCCTTTGAGAAACCTGGTCTACTGGGGGCTGACAGGGTCCATCTGTCAGAGAAGAGGAAGAGCGTCTTCAGTCATAGACTTGCCAAGTTGGTGAAGAGGGCTTTAAACAAACACTGCTGGGGGAGGGGAACCTCAATCCATCCCCCTCCTGCCAGTTTGATGCCAGTGCCAGCAACAGATGCCTGGAGAGGAATCACAGGTCAGCAGAAGAGCACCTGAAGAGCCGCACAGAGGAATTCCAGCCACTCCAGCCAGAAAGTCAGCTTCATCAAGGGCAGCCTTGGCTGCAGTGACCGTGAAATGGTGGAGTTCAAGACCCTTAGGGCAGCAAGGAGAGCACACAGCAAGCTCACTACCCTGGACTTCAGGAGAGCAGACTTTGGCCTCTTCAGGG